TGCAGCAGAACGCGCTCGATGGGGCGCGACGCTAGAACCGCGTTGCTGTCTGCAGGGCAACGGTGAGTGCGCGCGCAGCCAGACTTCGGGACGATGGCTCACCGGTCCGTGCGCAGGGCCCGCGGAAGACGTCGCGGTCAGCAGCGCGCCATGCACCATGCGCCGTGCGACGACCCAGGATTCGCCGCGCCCGCGCTCGCGCTCACGCTCCACGTCCCCCGGGGCAGCCGCTGTCGACGGCAAGGCTCGCGAGGACAGCGTCGACGCGGCCGCGCGCACGGCGGAGGACCTACGGATGCCACGCGCGAGCAAGGTGAGTGACGACGCGGGAGCAAGAAACGCGCAAGAAATCAGCAGCACTCACTGTGGGCAATGGCGCGTGCGCGTGCGACGGACGACGGGCCCTAGGCAACATCCTACCGGTGTCAAGGAAACGACGACCGGCAGCCAGCCAGAGCGCGCGCACTGCGAGCGCGCCGCCGGACGAGTGGGTTTCAGACGCAGGAGACGGAGGCCGCAGGGAATGGCGAAGACCTCGACCAGCGTCCGTTCCCCCCACGTCTTGTGTACCCCGTCAGCTGCAAGTGACGCGCATGCGCCGGACGCACAGCCTGAGCTCAGTGGATCCTGTCCGTGCACGCCGTCTCTGTCCCGCGCTATCGCACTCCGCTCCCGTCCTCTTACAGGATGCACACACTGCGCGCAGGTACGCCAAGCATTCCTTATTCCCCGGTCAGTCCCTACTCACACGCGTACACCTCCCGCTATCTGCCTACTGACGATCGCGCCTCTTTCCAGGTCCCTAGCAGCTTACTATGCCTGCCGTCCAACAACCAACCCCACTGCGCTTCTATCCAACCGCCGCCGCTGCCAGTGCTTCAGAGCAGCAACCAGGGCGCGAATCGTCCGCGCCGTCGGACACCGTCGATTGATCCCACACCGCCCGCGCCGTCGAACCACGCCGCACGCACACACAACGCACGCGCCGTCGAATCACGCCGCACGCACAAACGACAGCAGGCTGAGTCGGTGCGTGCTGCTTCTGTCCCGCGCCGTCTCACTCATTCCGCTGCCAGCCGTCCACTTAATCGACGTATCGTGCGCCGCAAACGGTCCGCGACGCACGCGCTCCAGCGATACTCACCTGGCGCGCACGCCATCACCATCACTAGCTACTCACATGCACTCCCCGCTATCTAACCGTCGGCCATCCCGCATCTCCCGTGTTCCGCACGCCCCGCCCCACTCGCAGCCTGACATTCCAGCATCTAGATGACAACCCCCACCCGCGACGGCGTCCTCCCGCTACCAGGGCTTCAGACCGGGGACGCGCACGCGGATCGTCCACGTCGTCGCAGCGGGATGACGTGAACGCCTACAGATCGCACATTGTAGTAAGTGTTTCGTTTGCATGTAGAGATCATCGCCCGCCACTTACCATCCGGCGCGGACGTAGGACGCGACGTTCTGGCCGACCGGCCCTCATCACCTATGCAGCCGCGGGCCAAACGTCTACCACCGACCGTCCGCCTCGTTCAATCCGCTCAGCCGCGACGACGGTCCTCCGCGCTCCCGGACCTCATTGACACCATTAACCCCGTTAGCTTGGCATCACCGCACGCATGCATGCATCACTCACCCCGCGTACTCGGTACGTGGTATGCTCCAGCCATCGTCTTGACCATCTGGCGACGTCGACTGCTGCAGTGGCGTACACAGTGAGTGGCGTGATGCAGCACTCCCTAAAACGACGGCGGCTTACCTGATCAGTGTCCGGGCGCGCAGCACGTACGTGGCCACGCCGGGCGAGCGAGATAGCGGGCGGGGCACAGTACGAGCGACAACAGAGCGGAAGACGAGTCGCAAATCACACAGGATTCTCTGACGACGTCCACCTTTAAATCCCTCACACGCTTTCCCGGCCTGTTGCCATTCCCACGACTGCCGCCCGGACATCTCGCATCGGCTGCCGCGTCGCTCAATGGTTACTACTCGCCCAAAATCATGACGGCAGCGCC